ACGCTTTGCATGTTGCACCTATTTACTGAATTATTATTGTAAAGATAAAAATGATAATTTAAAAAAAAAAATTTTTAAAAATTAATGAAATTATTTATGAGATAATTTAAAAATTAATTTTATTTCTAATTTCAGACAAAGTTCTACTTTCATTATCGAATTATCGAATAATAAATTTTCTTTAAATCACTTTTGCCAATCCGGTGGCTGCTACAATTAAAATCATTTAATTTCATTTACAATAATGTAAATTGGGAACAAGATTTTCATGTTTCATAAGATTTCTCGAATTCTTTACCAATTTTTATAAATGTTTGGACCAAATGTGAACGATTTTTTATTTACCTATACTTATATAAAAAGAACACTTGCTCTCACTCAGAGTATTTTAAGTTTAAAGTTTTATTGACATATTTCTATTTTTAATACACATATACACGTTTTAATTAATTTAATTTAAAAATTATAATTTTTTTTTTTTTGAATTTAATTAAATTCTAGTTTTAATTTTTAACTGTTATATTTCATTAGCTTATGCAAATTAATTTATAAATAAAGTATGTCATACGATGATTATTATATTTTAATTCTTAATATTAATTTTAGATTGTACATAGAATAATTGGGAATATTAAAACAAATTCTAGTTTAACTAGAATTTAATATTTAACGTGAATTAAAAATATTATACAAATTTAGACAATTTAGAGGCGTTTAGGTTTTAATTTATAATTTTATATTTGTTTAATTTTTGTAATTAAATTCTATTAGTTAAAATGAGTGAAAGGAGTTTATAGTCTACTTTAATTATAAAAGTATGTGTATTTCGTCGTTTCTAAAATGTATATTCAAAACTCAATCATTACTTATTCATTTTAATCATTATTTGTTTTTGAAAATTTTAGGTGCAGTCGATAAGTTGCGAAAAATTTCAAAAATTCAATTGAAAAAATGAGTAATTTTAATGGACAAATGAAATATCCATTAGAAAAAGGAAGAATTCTGATTTGATGTTACACTTTCAAAAGCGACACGAAAAACCGAGATTCACAATTAGGTGTAAGTTTTTCCTAGTTTCCGAGTGCTTTTAGCTAATATCAATATAGCAATATAAATAAATATTTAGCTCAGTAATTGAAAATATCCATGTACATATGTTACATATAGTTACTATTTTGAATAATATTTTCTGTAGGAAATATTCATTTTTAATATAGAAACTTTCCATTTTGGTCATAGAAAATTAACAAGTAGTAATTGAATTAGAGTTAAATCGTAAAAAAGTAATACACAATTGTGAATTTATCATATTATCATTTTATACTTTTAATTTTATAATTCTAGAATATTTTGCTATAATACAGCATCATAGACTGTGTTGTTAAAAATCATTGAGAGAGAAAGATAAGCGAACAAGAATTGTCGCCAGATCTATCAATAGTGGGAACTTTAATTAACCCTAAAATGTACCTGGGTTATCATAATTTCTAAAAACTAGTCAAATTTACTAACCATTAGCTTTGCCTTATTTTGTTTCGCAAATAAAGGCATTTCTTTGTGTTTTCGGCTAAATCGAGAGGTCACGTTCGTTTTAGTCTTTCTGTCTAACCCCTACGAGTCGAGTGACCTCAATATTTACATGTTGCAATAACGCGTTCTTTGTTTCATGGCACGGTTTGTTTTTTCATTATTTACTTCGAGTACACTCAAATGCCTATCGATGTGATTATTGCGCACATTGGGGCGTGCACCATATTACAAAGGACTCTGAGCTCATATTATTGATAATTGTTGCGCTCATGTTGTTGATATACTATTAAAGAATAAAAAAAATCGTGTGTTAAGCATAATATTTTCGATTTACGAATATGTAGTAGTTATGGAATATGTTAAATGGTATGAATATGTAGTTGAAAGTAAGGTATGGACATTAATTTACGTAAATGCATAAATTTTTAAACGAAAAAATATTCTTCTAAACAAAAACTAATGTTCACATAAATTTATTTAAGAATTAATTCCAAAAAAATTTCGAAATTATAACGGTATATAAACGAAAAATTCTTTCTTTTTTTTTAAATTTATTATTTAATTTAATATCTGTGTGCAATAATTTTTAATGAATTATTGTGAATTTTGATTATTTCAATATATTTAGTAGGTTGCACATGCATCTAAATATAGAATATTTATTGGGTCAACAAAAGCAAAAATATATTTTTAAAAATGCTTACAAATTTTATTTTTTACGTCACTATTCTCAATATTAATTAAAATTAACAAAATGCTTATATAAGCAATTTAATCGACAAATTCGTATTAATTAACAAGTGCTGTAAAGTACGGCACTTATGTACACATACTTGTGTATATCGTAATTAGTGATATCGTAATCTAATTTAACAGCATTTTGATATTCACACATGTACTTGTTTATACGATGACTTTTGCAATAATAGTTGACATACGTTTCGTTTACCTTGCCTATCAAGCTTCTGTGCATCATAAATGCAATAGTGTAGTGTATACACAGCTAACAGTGACAAAATATAGACTTTTGTAGAACGCATTGTTTTTGTCTCTTGTGTAAATTTTAGCTGCATGCTTATGGTGGTAGTATATTGAGTAAATAATCTGATTTTCTAAATTTACATTTTGAATAATATTTTACTTATTTCTTTCCATTTCTTTCAGGCTAAATTCAGCTTTTTAAAGTACTCTGAGGCTAGTTTATGAATTTTAACCCCATATTTCATATTACATAAATATCTCACATTGTGAGTATTATCACGCTCTAGTTCATACGTACCAACTAACAATCATTTCTATTTAAATTCATAATTCATAAAATTTATCCAACTTTTATCTTTAATTTTATTATCATCACCTTATAATAATTGCCAAGGTTAAGAAATAAATATTTTTTTCTCTTTTAATATGAAATTAAAATAATATGAACGAAAATGTTCAATTTTTCTCTTATCTAAATAAAATAAAAATTTCTCTTCAATTTTTTAATTGTACACAAACACGATTAATACACAATATTAGAATTAAGAGAGAGTTTCTCTTTGAAATTGAATAATGAAGAGAGAATTTTTGTGTACAATAAAAGAAAATTAAAAATTTTAATGTGTTGATCTTTTAAACGTTCATTTAGTCATGAAATGCAAATTTTATTGCATTTTTAGTATAAAAGTTAATTTTCTCATATGTATGTAAGTATGTACGCACGTACATATATTGTTCTCATAAAGTTTTTCTCGATTTTGAAGTTAGTTTTTAATGTTGTTTTTATATAAGTTTTATAGCGTGTACATATAAAATTAGTTATACTTAACAAAAGTTTGTGTATATAAATATTTATGTACGTAATGTGTATGTCATAATGTGTATGTATGTATGATGTTGTGTAAATATTATGCTTTGAAATATAATATATTTTCATAACCTTGAACGTGATTTTACATTAGCTTTTCATTTTGTATAACAATATTATGGAAATGCAAAAATGTATATTGTATGTGCATATTATAGTATAAGTTAATGCACATCTGTAATGTATGTATATTATATCATATACATATGAATGATTGTAAGTAGGTTATGATGAATTATATATATGCACATTAGGTTAACTTCATATTACTTGTGATATACACAAATTTTACATGAATGTCGGTATGTGGTATGTATAACATATACATGTATGTAATGCAATACTAGGTACATATAAAAGTATTTAATATTAAAGTGTTGAAGTTTTTTTGAATTTACAACTTATTGTTAAGTTATAACACTTATAATAATTAGTATTTATTTATTTTTTTATTATCATATACTTATTGTAGTGATAATTTTTACCGTATAGTTTTCACGCGTATATGTGATGGCGTATATTATGATTGTGAATAGTTTTTATAAGTTTCTGATATTATTATTGTATGCATACATATGTATATACAAAAAGTTTTGGTTTTACATAAAATTCCTACTAATTATTGCCCTTTAATATAATTCGTATAGATACATGTATGTAAAATGTAAATTATACTGAGTATATTTGAATAAAGTATTTGACGTTTTTCACACGGTTAAAATGGTCACTTTAATTTTTTTTTTGTTTTTTATATGTAAATATATTTGTGCATTGTGATTAGGTTTAATAAGATTTTTAATTGTAAATGCATTAATAATTAACACACACATAGGTACCCTATAAGTTTTTGGCATAAAAATATAAATAAATTGTCACCCTTATTCTGTTAGTCGCATCACTTGACGTGATAGGTAGTTATTCAATAAAAACCAAAATATTTTTCAATTATGTTCCATCCCCATAAGACAGGCGACAAATAGAATATAAATTGGTATTTTCATCTTTTGATTTGGCAGTTTTAACAGATGATAAGTTATACATGTAGGTGCAAATAAGTGGTAAGGTAATAAGGTTAAAATTTTCAATAGATGGCAGTAAATGCAAATCATATTTAAACTTTCTCTGACAAATATAATATTTTTAGGTTTGCTTGTCAGAAAATTCTTAATCAAAACAGTACACAGTAAACTTATTCATACCCAATTTTGTATACATATTTGACGTATTTGATGTCAATTAGCCCAAATTTTTAAAAAACAATTGAAGACCATATTGAAGAAAGAAGGCAATTTTATAAAACATGTAATTTTATTTTTTTTTCAAATTTTACAATTTTTTTATTTAAATTTTTGCAAGCATCTAATATATTTGTAATAATTTAAATAATATAAGTACATATACAGGTATTAGTATAACATAATATGTACCTACATACATATATAAATTTTTATCGTGTTTTATTATTTGGTAAACAAAAGAAATTACATTTAAGCAAAATAACATTTTGTATAAAGAAATCAAGTGCATCATTAATTTGAACAACTAGTGACGCTGATCATGTCTTCGAGGAAGTGAAAAATAAATATTGTGTAAATAACTTAATAGTAATATTTTTTTTTTTAAAAAAAAGTTTATATTCTAATTTAACAAAGTTTAAGGGTAGTTAGTCTATAAAGAAATTTTCATATTAAATAAAATTGTAAATAAGATAATTCAGGAAATATCACATGAGTAAGCTTACTCTTTTGTTTTTTGTAAAAAAAAAATATTGTCATTAAGTGTTCTGTACCTATGGGACTTATTTTTGTCATAAATATCATACATAATATATGTACATACATATAAACATTAAATTTGCGATCTAAGAAAAATATTGATTTAAATATTGTCATTGTTTCAATTACTTGCAAGACATTTTTTAATATTAATTTTCAATATTTAATTAAAAAAACAAATTTATTAAACTATTGTATTATAATAATTTTTTATTGAATTGTCAAAAATAATTTGCTAGTTAATTATTATGTGAATAGAAAACTATGTATATGATAGATGGCGCTTAAATAATTGCGCTATAATTTATTATTATTTTTTATAATACATTAACCTATGGTAGTTCGTGGCTCTATCTGGTGTGTATTTTTTGTATGTTAATTAATTATGCTTTAATATTATTAATAATTCGAGTTTGATGTACAAATTAAATGCGCATTTAACTGAGTATACAGACTTACATATGTAGTTAATAATGTTCAATAATTATTATCTTCATTTGAGTATGACCAAACTAGAAATTTTATTAATTTGCTTCTTTATATATACATATACATATGTATAAATAAATATTAATTATTAATATGACAATTTTTTTAAAACTAAAAGTAAATATTATTGTATTTTCGCTTTGGTATTTAAGTTTTTTTTTTGCTGCACAGTTTTAGAATAAATAAGATTAGAAATAAAAATTTTTTTATAAAGAGTTTTTAATATATGGGATGGTTTTTTTTTACATACTTTTTACATAGTATGTAGATTCATATACTTACAATAAATTAAATTCTTTTAATTCGAAATCATTCGATTATGCAATTTTATATTACACATTCGTATTATTCTCGATTACATACATATGTGATATAAAAAATTATTATACAGAAATAGATAGATAAAAAAAAAATAATTATTTTGTACTTTCTATATACACATGCATTAGTAAGAAAATACTAATTAAAACTAGTAAAGAATTATTTTCATATCAGGGGGCAAAATACAAAAAAAAAACTTGTACATAATGTCATCACATTGGAAATTTTAATCCCTTGTATTATATAGAATACCTAAATCTTGAAAATGAAATTAAATTTGTTATTAAAGCAATTAAGTATAGGGCAATAATGAAAATGTATGCAACAAGGTTCGATATGACTGATTTAAAAAAAAAAATTAAAAATAGATGAAATATTATGGAAAATATTTTATTTTAATTTATTATTGCTTATTGCTGTTGATATTGTTCAAATTAAATAGAAATTTATGGATATAATTAATGATTAAATTTGTTTTTGAGCTGGAATTACAATGTATTGTTATAAATAAAATTTCAAATTCAGGGTTCTTTTGCAAGAGGAGCAACCCTATAGTATATAGCGTATACTAAAATAAATCGTGTGTTTGTACATAGTGTAGGAAAATCTAATGAATTTTACAAGTTTCACTTTGATTCGCAGTGAAATCGAATTCTGATTTTTCCCAGTAAATATTAGGGTGTCTACCAAAATGCAGATCAAATAGTTTTAATTATTCTCAAGCTAACGTCAATATGTCAGACCTGCATTTTGGTATAGTTGTGTAGGATTTAAAATATTTTGAAATTTTATCAAAGTTATGAACCTTACATAAATTCATATTAAATTTTAAAATTTAAATTTTTAAATGTAAATTTTTAATAAATTTTATTATTTTATTTGCAAAACACGTCAATTTCTTATATGATCTTGAATTTCAATTTAATATACACATATGTTATACAATTTAAATCAGAAATAAATAATTATATATGTTAGTATGTATGTATGAATATAGTACGATTTTTAAGTAATATACGCGTGAGTTGCCAAAACAATTTAAATGTTATAATTTGTTAAAAAAAAAAAAAAAAACAGAAAACAAACTAATGTCAATAAATAAACAAATGTTTTAATCAATTTCAATGAAAATTACAATAAAATAATATTCTCTATCTAGTACTGAGATTATCAACACCAATACTGATTAATTAATAATTTTCAACTGTTTTTTACTTTCTTGTAATATAACTGTTCTATATACATATAAACTTAGTGAATTGAAATTTTAACTTTGAAATTTTAAAACATTAATCTAAAATATTAAAAACAACATCATTTCAAATAAAAGAAACGCTGATTGCCTGTCGGATGACGGTGAAAGCCGTCTCCACGTTAAACACACCAAAATGGATTCTAACAACAGATTTGGTCCATTGAGTCAGCTTTCAGATGATGAAAATGAAGCTGTTGCAGATTTTACTCCAAAGCAACACAAGCCACCGCCAGTGAACATTACTGGTAAATCAAATACCGAAATTCGTGACCACATGGCACAACTAGGTATTAAAAACTACACAATTAAAAATTGCAGTATAAGCACAAAAATTCTTGTAAACACTCTGGAAGAATTTGATTTTTTATATAAAGCACTTGTTAACTATAACTCTAGTGTGAAAGATGATACAAATAAATGGAAATTTTTTACACATCAAAATCGTTTAAATAAGCCAATTAAATTAGTATTATACGGATTGGATAACTCAATACAAAGTGATGATTTACTAAACGAACTACAAAATCTTAAAATTGAATGTTTTGATGTTAAAGCAATGCAAATGAAAACTGAGCGATATTATTGCCAACAAAATTTTTTGATTTACATAAAAAGAAACAGCATTACTTTAAAAGAAATCCGCACAAAAATCAAAGCTATATTTCACAGAATTGTAAAATGGGAATATTTTAGTAAAAAACACAAAGGCCACGTCATGTGCTTTAACTGTCAAACACTTGGTCATGGTGCTAATTACTGCCATCTAAGTACTGTCTGCGGTATATGTGCTTGTAAACATAAAACTTCCGAATGCCCAGAAATGAGCAAACCGACCGACGAACAAAAACTGAAATGTGCAAATTGCAAAGGTCAACACAAAAGTAATTTTCTCCAATGTCCAGAAAGAATTAAGTATGAAAATATAATGCAATCCATTCGAGAAAGAAATAATAAAAAGCAAAACAAAAATCGTTCTCATCAATTAAATTTCAATAACAATATTAACATTAGCGACACGCATCACTTTCCAATTCTCTCATCAACTTTGAGAACAAATAATCAACAATCAAACTTCACCAACAAGAGTAACAGAACTGTTAATTCAGTATCATACGCAAGTATTGCAAACAATAATTATAATAATTTTCCTAGTTCAAATAATTTATATAATAATAACAATGTTAATTTTCACAACAACTCTAGTTGTAATAATAATACTAATCTTACTAACAATAGTACAAATAATGATCTCTTTACTTACTCAGAGTTATTGACTCTCTCTCAAGAACTTTTAACTAGATTGAGAGATTGTCAGAATAAAATAGAGCAATTTAATGTTTTAACAGAACTAACCTTGAAATATTTATTCAGTAATGTTAAATAATAATATTCAGAACTTAAAAATAGTTTGTTGGAATGCTAGAAGCATTGTCAACAAAAAAATTGAATTTTTAAATTTTTTAAGAAAATATGATGCTGATGTTATAATTATAACAGAGACTTGGTTAAGAGAATCAATTGTTGTTGATTCTGTTTATGATATGTATTGTTGTAATAGGACTTCTGGAAGAGCGGGAGGGGTTGCCATAATGATAAAAAAATATATTAAACATGAAATTTTGCCACAGGTTAGAACAAAAATATTTGAAACAATTTCTGTTAGGGTAGATACGGGTACAATGCATATTGACTTTATAGGTGCATATTTTTCAGGTGGTAATAGTAACAAAGAAAAACTAAACAGCTTCAAAAAAGATTTGGAAGTTTTTAACAAATTAACTGGCAACTATATAATTGCGGGCGACTTTAATTGCAGGCATGTAACATGGAATTGTGTAAAGAATAATATTTGGGGTAAAATTTTAAATGAGAAATTATTTAATAGCAATTTTAGCTTATTATTTCCTGCGACTCCAACTTATGTGCCCACGTCGGTAAGACAGAAACCATCAACTCTGGATCTTGTTCTTTGTAACATCCCTAATTATATTACAGCTCCTTATACCGTCAACGAACTAAATTCAGACCATTTGCCTGTATTATTTACCGCTAATCGAGTAGCACAAATTATTGAAAAACCAAAAAGATTTTTATTAAGAAGGACCAATTGGAAACAATTTGGAAAGGTTTTTAATCGGGCTATATCTGGTACAAATTTTGCGACAAAACCAATTACCAAGGAACAAATTGAGGATTCAGTTGTTAAATTTCATGAATGTTTGAGGGACACTATTGATAAAGTTGTTCCTCGACAAACTATATCGGATCATGATTATTTGATGAGACTGTCAGAGCGTACTAAGCTTATAATATCCCTAAGAAATGCAGAAAGACGACGCTGGCAAAGAACAAGGTGTTACAGTCATAAAATGTTGTACAGATTTTATGATCGTATAGTTAAGATGGAAATTAAAGAATCCAGAAATCGGGCATGGAATCAATATTTGTCCTCACTAGACAGAGCTTCGAAACCTTTTTACAATTTGTGTAAAATACTCAAAAAAAGAAAGACTAGAATGCCAGCTATTTCCTATAACAATTCTACCTTAACTACCGATTTAGAAAAGGCTAATGCATTAGCAGATTTCTTTGCAAGTCAAAGTTCTCTGACTGATAATTACAGCGATGTTCTAACAGTGGATGCAGTTCAACGTTCAGTTGACGGATTACGATCACTGGCAATTACGGACTATTCTTTGATTTCTATAAATGAAATTATAGATATAGTTACAAAATTGAAAATCAAAAAAGCACCGGGTAATGACGGTATACCAAACATTGTATTGAGGAACTTGCCAAGGACAAGTTATAAATTTTTGGCAGGGATTTTCAATAGCTGTCTGGAATTAGGATATTTCCCTAAAATATGGAAAGATGCCATAGTAATCTGC